GGGACAAAAGAAATTGTAAAAATTATAGAGGAATAAGTTTACTGACTATACCAGGAAAAGTGTACAGTAGGGTTATAATTGAAAGAATTAGAGGTAAGACAGAATGTAGGATTGTGGATGAGCAAGGAGGTTTCAGAGTGGGTAGGGGATGTGTAGATCAAGTGTTTACATTGAAGCATATATGTGAACAGTATTTAGATAAAGGTAGGGAAGTTTTTATTGCATTTATGGATTTAGAAAAGGCATATGATAGAGTGGATAGAGGAGCAATGTGGCAGATGTTGCAAGTACAGTGGACCCCCACATACCGTTGGCATCACATAACGTTAAATCCGCATACCGATACATTTTATCGCTAAGATTTTGCCTCGCATACTGCTAAAAAACCCGCTCAACGCTATTCGTCCGAGACGCGTCTAATGTGCGGCCTGAGCCAGCCTCACATGTTCCGCCAGTGGCATTGTTTACCAGCCAGCCTCCGCGGTAACATCCAAGCATACAATCGGAACATTTCGTATTATTACAGTGTTTTTGGTGATTTTATCTGCAAAATAAGTGACCATGGGCCCCAAGAAAGCTTCTAGTGCCAACCCTACAGGAATAAGGGTGAGAATTACTATAGAGATGAAGAAAGAGATCATCGATAAGTATGAAAGTGGAGTGCGTGTCTCCGAGCCAGCCAGATTGTATAGTAAACCCCAATCAACCATCGCTACTATTGTGTCCAAGAAAACAGCAATCAAGGAAGCTGTTCTTGCCAAAGGTTCAACTGTGTTTTCGAAACAGAGATCGCAAGTGATGGAAGATGTTGAGAGACTCTTATTGGTGTGGATAAATGAAAAACAGATAGCAGGAGATAGCATCTCTCAAGTGATCATAAGTGAAAAGGCTAGGAAGTTGCATGAGGATTTAATTAAAAAAATGCCTGCAACTAGTGATGATGTGAGTGAATTTAAGGCCAGCAAAGGTTGGTTTGAGAGATTTAAGAAGCGTATTGGCATACATATTGTGGTAAGGCATGGTGAGGCTGAAAGTTCCTACCACAAAGCAGCTGAAAAATATGTGCAGGAATTCAAGGAGTACATACACAGTGAAGGACTGCAACCTGAACAAGTGTTTAATTGTGATAAAACAGGCCTGTTTTGGAAGAAAATGCCAAGCAGGACCTACATTACTCAGGAGGAAAAGGCACTCCCAGGATATAAGCCTATGAAAGACAGGCTTACTCTGTTGATGTGTTCTAATGCTAGTGGTGATTGCAAAGTGAAGCCTTTATTAGTGTATCACTCTGAAACTCCCAGAGCGTTCAGGCAAAAGAATATCCTCAAGGCTAATTTGTATGTGCTGTGGAGGGCAAACAGTAAGGCATGGGTCACTAGGGAATTTTTCTATGACTGGTTACACCAAGCATTTGCCCCCAATGTGAAAAATTACCTAACTGAAAAGAAATTAGACCTTAAGTGCCTCCTGGTGTTAGACAATGCCCCTGGTCATCCTACAGACATGGCAGAGCGACTTTATGGGGACATGAGCTTCATTAAGGTGAAGTTTTTGCCTCCTAATACCACTCCTCTCCTGCAGCCCATGGACCAGCAAGTTATTGCAAACTTCAAAAAACTGTACACAAAAGCTCTGTTTGAAAGGTGCTTTGTAGTGACCTCAGAAACTCAATTGACTCTAAGAGAGTTTTGGAGAGAGCACTTTAATATCCTCAATTGTGTAAACCTTATAGGTAAGGCTTGGGAGGGAGTGACTAAGAGGACTCTGAACTCTGCTTGGAAGAAACTGTGGCCAGAATGTGTAGACAAAAGGGATTTTGAAGGGTTTGAGGCTAACCCTGGGAATCCTATGCCAGTTGAGGAATCCATTGTGGCATTGGGAAAGTCCTTGGGGTTGGAGGTTAGTGGGGATGATGTGGAAGAGTTGGTGGAGGAGGACAATGAAGAACTAACCACTGATGAGCTGATAGATCATCTTCATCAGCATGAGGCCAGACCTGAGGAAACTGCTTCGGAGGAGGGGAGAGAGAAATTGAAGAAGTTGCCTACTTCAAAGATTAAGGAAATGTGTGGAATGTGGCTTAAAGTGCAAACCTTTTTTGATGACAATCACCCTAACACAGCTATTGCAAGCCGTGCTGGTGACTATTACACTGACAATGTTGTGAACCACTTTAGGAATGTCATAAAGGAACGGGAGGTACAGGCCTCTATGGACAGATATGTTGAGCGACAGAAGTCCAGTGACTCTGAATCTGGTCCTAGTGGCATTAAAAGAAGAAGGGAAGTAACCCCGGAAAAGGACTTGACACCTCAAGTCTTAATGGAAGGTTATTCCCCTTCTAAACACTAAGACTCTCTCCTCCTTCCATCCCATCAATCATCACCAGATCTTCAATAAAGGTAAGTGTCATGTAACTGTGCATGTCTTTTTCATTTTGTGTGTATTAAAATTAAATTTTCATGTGGTAAAAATTTTTTTTTCATACTTTGGGGTGTCTTGCACGGATTAATTTGATTTCCATTATTTCTTATGGGGGAAATTCATTCGCATAACGATAATTTCGCATAACAATGAGCTCTCAGGAACGGATTAATATCGTTATGCGGGGGTCCACTGTATATGGAATAGGTGGTAAGTTATTAAATGCTGTAAAGAGTTTTTATGAGGATAGTGAGGCTCAGGTTAGGGTGTGTAGAAGAGAGGGAGACTACTTCCCGGTAAAAGTAGGTCTTAGACAGGGATGTGTAATGTCACCATGGTTGTTTAATATATTTTTAGATGGGGTTGTAAAGGAAGTAAATGCTAGGGTGTTCGGGAGAGGGGTGGGATTAAATTATGGGAATCAAATTCAAAATGGGAATTGACACAGTTACATTTTGCTGATGATACTGTGCTTATGGGAGATTCTAAAGAAAAACTGCAAAGGTTAGTGGATGAGTTTGGGAATGTGTGTAAAGGTAGAAAGTTGAAAGTTGAAAGTGAACAAATGATCTAGATAAAGAAAAATTGGATATCAAATTGGGGAGGAGGAGTATGGAAGAAGTGAATGTTTTCAGATACAGTGGACCCCCGCTTAACGATCACCTCCCAATGCGACCAATTATGAAAGTGTAATTATGTAAGTGCATTTGTACGTGTTTGTTTGGGGATCTGAAATGGACTAATCTACTTCACAATATTCCTTATGGAAACAAATTCAGTCAGTATTGGCACCTGAACATACTTCTGGAATGAAAAAATATCGTTAACCGGGGGTCCACTGTACTTGGGAGTTGACGTGTCGGCGGATGGATTTATGAAGGATGAGGTTAATCATAGAATTGATGAGGGAAAAAAGGTGAGTGGTGCGTTGAGGTATATGTGGAGTCAAAAAACGTTATCTATGGAGGCAAAGAAGGGAATGTATGAAAGTATAGTAGTACCAACACTCTTATATGGGTGTGAAGCTTGGGTGGTAAATGCAGCAGCGAGGAGACGGTTGGAGGCAGTGGAGATGTCCTGTTTAAGGTGTGGTGTAAATATTATGCAGAAAATTCGGAGTGTGCAAATTAGGAAAAGGAGTGGAGTTAATAAAAGTATTAGTCAGAGGGCAGAAGAGGGGTTGTTGAAGTGGTTTGGTCATTTAGAGACAATGGATCAAAGTAGAATGACATGGAAAGCATATAAATCTAAAGGGGAAGGAAGGCGGGGTAGGGGTCGTCCTCGAAAGGGTTGGAGAGAGGGGGTAAAGGAGATTTTGTGGGCGAGGGGCTTGGACTTCCAGCAAGTGTGCATGAGCGTGTTAGTTAGGAGTGAATGGAGACGAATGGTACTTGGGACCTGACGATCTGTTGGAGTGTGAGCAGGGTAATATTTAGTGAAGGGATTCAGGGAAACCAGTTATTTTCATATAGTCGGACATGAGTCCTGGAAATGGGAAGTACAATGCCTGCACTTTAAAGGAGAGGTTTGGGATATTGGCAGTTTGGAGGGATATGTTGTGTATCTATATATGTATATGCTTCTAAACTGTTGTATTCTGAGCACCTCTGCAAAAAGTGATAATGTGTGAGTGTGGTGAAAGTGCTGAATGATGATGAAAGTATTTTCTTTTTGGGGATTTTCTTTCTTTTTTGGGTCACCCTGCCTCGGTGAGAGACGGTCGACTTGTTGAAAAAAAAAAAATGTACGTGTCCTAGGTAGTAGGTTGGTAGACAGCAACTGCCCAGGGAGGTACTACCATTCTGCCAAGTGAGTGTAAAATGAAAGCCTGTAATTGTTTTACATAATGGCAGTATTGCTGGTGTCCATTTTTCTGTCTCATAAACATGCAAGATTTCAGGTACGTCTTGCTACTTCTACTTACACTTAGATCACACTACACATACATGTACAAGCATATATATACACACCCCTCTGGATTTTCTTCTATTTTCTTACTAGTTCTTGTTTATTTCCTCTTACCTCCATGGGGAAGTGGAACAGAATTCTTCCTCCATAAGCCATGCGTGTTGTAAGAGACAACTAAAATGCCAGGAGCAAGGGACTAGTAACCCCTTCTCCTGTATATATTACTAAATGTAAAAGGAGAAACTTTCGTTTTTCCTTCTGGGCCACCCCGCCTCGGTGGGATATGGCCGGTGTGTTGAAAGAAGAAAGAAAGAATATGTATGTGTCCTCTTGATCAACTGCCACCATATGTCAAAACAAAAATGATTCTGACTCATACCCAGAATCTCGATGCTATTATAAGTCAGGTCAGGGCAAGATGGACAGGCATTGTCATCATTTCAAGAATTCCATGTTTTACTCTATTCATGACAATGGTGAGCAGGATTTGAGAAAGTGGCTCCTCAACAGCCCATCAAAGGGTGCTGTTTATTGCTTCTATTGTACTTTGATGTCCAGAGTACAATAAAAGGTAAATTAACTAAAAAGTAAAAAACAGGTGAAGAACCCTTTCTTGGCTGTTATAAGCTGCTCTCTCCTAATAAGGTTAATTTTTACAAAAAGACGGATTGAATCAGTTTCCTTCTTGAAGTTAGACAGTTTTGATTTCTTCCTTTTATAAATTACACCATTTTAACTTATATGTCTAGTTGGTCAGTTGGCCGGCCGGCCCATTAGCAAATTATTATATAAAAAATATATATATAGATAGATATTGAAAGCATGACACCAAAGATATAAATAAATACACATCGGTAATTATTATATAGTGTAGATGGAATATATTTCAAACTGAAAATTATAGTCAAAGTTATTCTTAAAGCCAATAAAATTGAGAAAAATAAAATCAGACGTCTTCTTTGAAACCTAACATATTTTTTTTTCAAAAACTGCTGTTCATCATTAATTTTAGTTCATTTCTTATTTGTAATTCAATTTAATTTCCATGCTGAGGGCCCCCCCAAACCTAAAGTGCCCCAGGACCCCCAAGGTCTAAATCAGGCCCTGACAGTACAGTATAATACAGTACAGTACAATACACTACAGAATAACACAGTACAGTATAATACAGTACAGTACAATACACTACAGAATAACACAGTACAGTATAATACAGGAAAGTACAGTACAGTATAGTACAGTATAATACAATATAGTACAGTATAATACAGTATAATACAGTACAGTACAATACAGTATAATTCAGTATCAGTGTATTACAGAGCAGTATAATACAGAACAGTATAATACAGTACAGTATAGTAGAGTACAATACAGTAAAAATAGTATAGTACAGTACAGTCTAGTACAGTGTAGTACAGTATAGTACAGTGCAGTACAGTACAGTACAGCACAGTAGAGTACAATATAATACAGTAGAGTACATAATAATAATAATTATGTGATTCTTGTCCACACTGTATTTTGCACACGCAATCTAATAAAATAAATCAATGTGAAACGAGTCCATTTATTTCTCAATTCATCATATTGCAAATGTTTCTTGTTCAGCTATCAAAGGATAAATTACCCAAGAAAATTTTCAGTCATATAAATGTATGAAGTTGGTGATCAATGTGGTCGGCAATAACCCTGCAAAGTAGGAAATGATAGCATCAGAGAAAGCAACTTGTGAAAATATTTTGAACCTTAAAGAATTAGTTTCATCAGTTATTGTTAGTTTTTAATATTATTACAAATCAAAGAAATGATTACAACTCCTGATTAAGTTTAGAGAATGTGTTAAGAGGTTCCCATTTATTGGTATTATTCTAATGCAAGGAAACATGGTAATTTGTAGTTCCAACTATTAATTGCATCATGATGATGATGATGGTTAATTTGTAAATGATAGGTTATGAAATATAAAGTAATATAAAAACTAATTGTTTTTGTTTTAAAATACTGTTGCTATCACTATTTTCCTCTGATTACAATATAGTATACATAGACTATAAACACTGTTTTTGTTTTAAAGTATATTTCTACGGCAACTAAGTACCTATCTCTATCTTACTTTTGTAACTGACCATTTGTTCATTACCTACCTTATTACATATGATTGTAGTTAACTACACAAGAAACCCTACTTAACTGTCTGTCTAAACCTTAAGTAACATTTAAGAATTATGATTAGTTTACCCGAAATGCACTGCATATTAGTGGGTGGCTGTCTTTTGTGCCTGCCAATGTTTTATTACACACGAGCTACATTATCTGAACCATAAAGAAAAATTGTATAGTATTCCTCTGATTACAGTATTTATAGTATAGAGACTATTTTTCCTTTCTTATCAATTACAGTAGACCCACGGATTACATAATTAATCCGTTCCAGAGAGAGTGACTTATCCTGAATTTGATTTATTCCAAATTAATTTTCCCCCATAAGAAATAATGGAAATCCAATTAATCCGTTTCAGACACCCAAAGGTATTAAAAAAAAATGTTTTCTACACGAAATATACATTTACCTACACAGAAAACAATGATACATGAAGAATAAAACAATAATAACATCACACTTACCTTTACTGAAGACATGGTGATGTATGGAAGATGGGAGGAGGGGAGAGGATGGAGGAGTTGACAATTGTTTGGAAGGGCAATCCCCTTCTATAGAGACTTCAGGTACCAAGTCCTTATCCTGGGTTTCTTCCCTTCTTTGCTTTTTAATGCCACTGGAATCAGCTTGAGTCACTGGACCCCTGTTGCTCAAAAAAGTGTTCCAGACAGGTCTGTTTCTGGCATATGTTAGGAATTGTGTTGGGAGACAGAACAATATAGTCCTTCAATATGACACTAATATCAGCTCTACGGCTTATTTATCTAGCACACTGCATCTAATATGACATAATAAACAATATAAATAACATAGAAACATGATATATACTCTAGAATGAATAAAATATGGCATTAAGAATGTCACGAGTAGTGGTGTGTTGTCTGTTGTTGGTGTATAAAGGCCCCTGAAAGATAAGCCTTACACAGTGGAGGTGAAGGCGGCAGCAGAGGCGGCGGTGTTAGTCGGTAACCCTATATACCTCCGACAGCAATGGAGGAGTCAGTTTCATGCTGTCCTCGATTAATAGCTTAACTTACTTGCTACACCATTAATGCCACACTTCATCGCTGGCTGGTTCTATAGCCTTTATCGACTCCTGCTGCTTTAGTATTGTACCTATTACAGAGTCCCTGAACAAGGTACATGCTTCCCTCTCTCTCAGTCCTTTACCAAAGGTCTGGCTGGCACTAGAAGCTTTCTTTGGGCCCATGGTGGCTTATTTAGCAGTTACAAGCACTAAAAAAGAATGGAATACAAAATGTATCATATGAACGCGTGGGATCCTAACTGGCTGGTAAACAATGGCACACTGGCTGTACATGGAGTGTCAGGGCCGCTCAGGCCACACAGACTTATACCGAGTTCAGTGACATTCACCAAGCCAATATTTTGACGAAAAAAACATTACTTATTCCGATGATGACTTAATCCGGGGGTCCACTGTATTAATTTTAAATTTAGCTGTTTTTCTTACTTAATGCTTTGTGCAAAACAACCAATGTGAAAGGATAATGAAATTCCAAGCACTTTTGTGACTTCTCACATTATCAAGGAACTATAAAGACAATACATCAAAGGAAGTCATATAAAGGGTCTAGACCACACCTCACCATCACATCCCACAACAAAGCAACACCTGATGCATGACGACACCCGACTCATAAGAAAGGAGGAACACTGCAGCAAGCCCGCTGGCCCAACTAGACAGGTCCTTCATGACATTCCACTAACAAAATATTTGTCCCACCCAAGAATTAAGATTTATTATTTGTCCAATGTATTGCTGAATCTTGTTTCATAAAAAGCAGTTTTGAAAATGATATGAATATTTCCTTTATTTTATATAAATTAGATCCATTTATAATTAATAAAATTTGGGAAGAATTTAATAATATATTGGACAAATAATAAATCTTAATTCTTGGGTAGAGTACTTTGATGGGACAAATATTTTCTTAGTGGGATGTTGTGAAGGACCTGTCTAGTTAGGCCAGCTGGCCTGCTGCAGTGTTCTTCCTTTCTTATGAGTCGGGTGTCGTCGGGTGTCGTCGCGTGTCAGATGTTGCATTGTTGTGGGATGTGATGGTGAGGTGTGGTCTAGACCCTTTATATGCCTTCCTTTGATGTATTGTCTTTATAGTTCCTTGATAATGTGAGAAGTCATGAAAGCTCTTGGAATTTCACTATCCTTTCACAGTGGTTGTTTTGCATATTCTGATATCACCTGTTTACTGTGAGCGTATTGCATTATTGCTTTGTACTTTTATGTGTTCCACTGTATATTAAAAATTCAGGTTATCAAATAAGCAACTCAGTTGATAGCTAGAACATGTACAATGTGATGAGCTTTTCATTTACTGTATCACTTGAAATTGGAGAAATGGTTAGATATTTAAGGTACCAGATATATACCACCCCATTCTGGCTATGTACTGTATATGATGAAAATTGCACAAAAAATTTCTCTGGAACCTCGAGCCCCTGAGCTGATATCAAATTACTTTGAGTGAACCTGGTAAGTGGAGGCTTTAAAACAAACTTCATTAAAATAAAAATTACAAATGGAGATTTATTTTGTACTAATGGACTGCTACAGTAAAACTATATAAACAGCAGAGTCATCTATGCCTGGTGAAGCTCACACCTTTGGTAAGAAGCACTATGCCTCTTTATCTTGAGTGTGTGTCGGAGGAAGAGAATGCCACTGGTGACAAAGGCTAAGAAGAGAAGTACCAGCAGAGTGAATGTAGCAAGTGTCAGTGGATGGCTTGTAGTCTCCGGGACAAAATTAGAAGTTTGGTTCAGCATGAAGCCATGTGGCCACACCACAGCTCTCTTGTTTAACTGAAGAAAATTAAATTCATAAAGTACAAATAATCATGCTTCCATAAAAAAAGTAACAGATTTACCATTAATATCAACTGCACGTTGAATATTAAGACCGAAAATACTTTAGTCAGTAAATTATTATTATAGTAAATTACCAATATGAGCTAACTCATTAATTACTAATGTGGGAATAAAGGTAAGCTAAGTGTACATTATTATTATTACAGTCACTGGTAATGCTAAACTTGTATGGGTTAATAGCACCTGGAGGAATGGCAGCCAATCAGTTTTCATCAATGAAAAGGGAAGACAGATCAAATTCCTTTGAACTGGGAGCTAGTTGGGGTGGGGGCTAGTAGGGGTGGGGGCTAGTAAAGGAGGGGGCTAGTAAGAGTGGGAGGCTGGTAGGGGTGGGCCTGGTAAAGGAGGGACTAGTAAGGGTGGAGGCTGTGTCAGTGGCCTGGTGTGGATGGTAGTTGGACAGGTGCCTGGGTGGGTGGTAATGAGGGTGGTGGGTGACTAAGGGATTAGGTGCATGGATGGTGTTAGGGTTTTGAGTAAGTTGTGAGTGTAATGTGTGGGAGAAGGCATTGGGCTGGGCAGGGTGTGGTCTTGAGATAGTAGGGAATGAGGCTCAGAAAGAACGGTGTAGGTACGTATATAAGCATATGGCAGTGGGGGTAACTGTATGGGTGGATTCTGGGCAGAGGTTACTGGTTGGAATGATGTAGGTGAAGGCATTGGCTTGAAGGAATGGTGTGGTCGAAGACATGTGGCCATGGGGTAATTATAGGGGTGGGGAGTATGGGCAGGAGTAGGTACTGGATGGTATGGGCGAGTTTGCTGGGTTTGTAGTGAAGGTATGTATATGGCCAGTATGGTTAAAGTTGCTGGGAGTATGATGAGGGTGTGTAGCCATGGGGAGGAAATAAATGGCATTATGAGCAAATTAACACTGGGTGTGAAGCAAGGGTGGCTAAAGAAAGGAAATAGATGGTTGTTTAAGCAGATAGTGTGGGTGAAGGTTGCCTTGCACCTGTATCTGTCCAAGTCTCATTTTTCATGCAATCTTACTTGATGATTTCTTAACTGACACTAATTTGTCACACTAACTGCAACTACTATCCCTTTCTGCTTATATCCTTAACTCAGCACCACCTCTCCCTCTCTGCTGCTGAATGACCTTTATAGATCTAGAGCTTAACATGACTGTAATTGCAATCTAGATTTAACACCCGAGGATTAGTGACTAAGTTCACTGGTTGAGACAAACAGTAATGAGATGGTAGAAAAATGTAGTCATTTAATAAACATTAAGTATAATAAAAATTGCTTACCTCATCACTAAAGTAAACATTTCCCCAGGATGAGTTGTCAATTCCTAGTCCAGTAGTGAGAACAGTGAAGATAAACATGGCATCGAAACAAAGATCATCTACCACCTCCTTCAGTCCTACAACAAATGATCTGAATACAGTAATGTATTGCCATACAAACACTGAAATTTTTAACAAGACATATCACATACTCTTCAAAGTTAAAGGAATTTCTCTCTTGGCCTTGAAATGTACCTGAATACCCCCACCCTTCTCCTTTTTGAGTTAAATAGCAGGAACATTTTCCCCATTTGTCTCAATTTGCAGTGACTTTTAGCATGTGATCTGGTATGGAATGTAATGAATGGACCACTAATGCTGACTCTACTCTTATAAAGTAAAGCTTATAGTGTTTGTCTCCTCAATGCACACTCAACCTCCATTTTCCTATATCACATGACCCTCTCCTATTCTTTCTGCCAATGTCAGCTCACTGCTCCCTCTTTACCATCTTTTTCATATCTCTTATATGGTGCAGTATGACCCTTATAAGTTTTTCACTTCCAATGAATATGCAAAATATTAATTAAAATTTATAATTTTACCCATATCTGGTATACAATTAACCATCCAAAATGATCAGGTATCCCTAAAGGGCAACCTTTAACCCTTAAACTGTCCAAACATAGATCTAAGTTTTCACTGCCAGATCTCCAAATATTTTGAAAAAAAAAAAAAAATTAAATAGGGCAATTTTCTGTGTAATAAGACCAAAGAAAATTTTTTAGGGTCAGTACTTGCCGAGATATATGGCTACGAAGTTGGCGCTGGATGCTCACCTTATGGCAACATGGAGTCCTCCCGCTTGCAGAAGTGCTGCTAATATACCTTTTTTTTCTTGTTTTTATTTTATTTTATATAATTTAAATGTTTAGTTAATTACAATTTATAGTACAGGTCCGCTGTCACAAATCCGGCAATCAGTTATTCGGTTCCTTCAGTTATTCGGCACTAATTTTGGTTAGCATAATTTCAAATTTCCAGGGTCGCCACACCAACCTGCTGGTACTGTTTGGTGGCGCTACTTGCTGCACAAGTCATTCCAATTTCTTTTTCTCCATTTATTGTTTTAACCTGCTTACTTTTAGCCCTAGCCATGGTTCCAATGAATAAAAGAAATGCTTCTCATTATGTAAAGCACCTACACAGTACATTATCCATTAAAGATAAGGTGACTTTGAAGCCCTGTCAGTTGCCATGAGCTCAGTCTCATGAAACAGGAGAATATGCTTTATTATTACGCTAATATCAACACTACAGCTTATTTGCCTATCACAATTGATCTTCTGGAGTTTATCTGGAGAGAGTTAATATGATATAAGAAACAATATAACATAAAACATGTTAAATACTCCAGAATAAATAATATTTGGCATAACACTGAGCAGTTCGACGGAGGTATGAAGAGGATATGGTATACAAACACCATTCTCCTATCCCTGTCTTGGTGGCTTATATTAGAGAAAACGGAGTATAGCACAGGGCTGTGATATACACTCCTACTGCACCATAAACCTGAAAAAAAGTTATTTTCTCTCTATAGATTATCACACACAGCAGCATATGTGTAGAGAACCTAGGATAACCCAAAAAAAGTCAACATGGCTTATTTTTAGTACCTGGCTTGGGGTAGCCATATATGATTTTTGGTAAATATTAGATTCCCAGCCAGGGTAGAAACATTAGGCGTGTTTCTTTACACCTGTTGTCTATGTTTACCCATCAGTAACTGGGTACCTGGGTGTTAGCCGACTAGTGTGGGTGTTATCCTGGGACACTGACCTAATTTTCTTGAAATACTCTGCATAACAAGCGGCTTTCTATACAGTAGTATGTCACTGATGTCAGCTAGGACTGTATACCTTGTACATGTACGTGTAGTAAATAAAGATATTATTATTATTATTATTATTACTATATTATATTATTATTATTATTATTATTATTATTTTCTCAGTTGTTTGTTGGGTTATCTTATTCAAACTAGGGAAATGTATGATGGAAAGATACTTCTTCACGTACACCAAAAATGAAAGAAATCAGACCATAAATAGCGGAGTTCACTATTCAGCCATTAGCGGCCGTTTAGCGGTATATTTTTGTATGGTTGTTATGGTTATATTCTCATTTTTTCGGTCTCATTTGATAGAATGAAAGATATATTACAGATATGATTTTGATTGCTTTCATGACGAAAAGTACCTTGAAACTGCGCTCACAGTAGCGAAAATGTTCTATTCTTTAGTGAAGCTCGAGTAAACAAATGACGTCACCGTCCAACACCTGTCCGCATGCCAGTCCAAATTCCAGTACGGAGTCAAGAATGGATTGACATTATTTATACAATTATTACAATAATGCAGCAGTCTGCATAACAGTAAATCTTCTATTTTTTTTTTTTTTTGTGAAAAAAAAATTCCAAATGAAAAGCAAGAGTAATATAAGAGGGGCCTGTAGCCGTGACTAATGAACAGAGAAAATGTTATTTTAGTGCCAGGAATGTCTGCATTGTTTATTCTGGATCCTATTTTGAAATTGGCATCTGTTGAAATTTGTGTGAAATCAGCCAAATTGCCAATTTCTGACCACTTTATTGGGTAGTTGAAATAAGTGAATGGGCGGTTTCTTGTACTCAGTTGACAGACTAGAAGTAAATAAGTTTATTCAGGTATACACAAACACAGTTACATAGATTATCATACATAGCAGTGTATGTATAGAGAACCTGGGATAACCCAGAAAAGTCAGACAAAGTGACTTATTTCCAGTACCTGGCTTGGGCTTACCATATATGATTTTTGGTAAATTTTATTTTTCTCGGTTGTTTGTTGGGCTATCTCATTGAAACTTGGGCAATGAATGATGGAAAGATGCTTCTTAACGTACAACAAAAATAAAAAAGACGGATGATAAATAAGGGACTTAACTTCTCAGCCATTAGCCGCCTCTTTGCAGTATATTTTCACATGGTTTTTATGGTTGTATTCTCATTTTTTTGGACTCATTTGATAGAATGGAAGATATATTACAGAAATAGACATGATTTTGATTGCTTTCATGACGAAAAGTACCTTGAAATTGAGCTCAAAGTAGCGGAAATGTTCGAATTTTGCCGATGTTCAATGAACTGTGTAAGTCAAGTTGGTTAATTTTATTAAGTGTATTCTAACCTAACCACTCTGTAATTCAGCAAACTCAGTAATCCAGCACACTGCAGGTCCCAGTGATGCCAGATTTGTGATGGAGGATCTGTAATTCTTGTGATTTCATAGCCAATCTTTGTTCTGACACTAATATTAGGTACAGGTCCGCCATCACAAATCCGGCAATCAGACATCCAGTTCCATCAGTTATTCGGCACTAACTTCAGCTAGCATAATTTCAAATTTCCAGGGTCACCACACCAACCTGCTGGTACTGTTTGGTGGCACTACTTGCTGCACAAGTCATTCCACCTTCTTTTTCTCCATTTATTGTTATAATCTGCTTACTTTTAGCCCTAGCCATGGTTCCAATGAATAAAAGAAATGCTTCTCATTGTGTAAAGCACCTACCCAGTACAGTCGGCCCATGTGTTTGGTCAGCCACAACTTTCGTGAAATCCAACTTTCGGAAAGTTTTTTCGTCAAAATTTAGCTTTGTGGTTCACGATTGCACTCATGATTCAGTGACCGTCTGGTACTTGTCCGCCGTCAGCGCGCACACAAAACCAGTCTCCCAAACCATTCACACTCAGTGTGCCATTGTTTACCAGCGAGTGACCATCACCCCATAGTTTCATACGATACATTTCATAATAATCCATTGTTTTTTGTGCTTGCAACTGCTAAATAAGCCACCATGGGCCGAAAGAAAACTCCTAGTGCCAACCCTTTGGTAAAGAAGGAAAGAAACAAAATAGAATTCAAGAAAAAACTCATAGCAAAGTACCAAAGTGGAGGAGGAAGAGGGGGGGAGAATGTGCCTTCTTCACTGATTCTATGATATGTACGATACTAAAGCAGCAGGTATCAATAAAGGCTATAGTGCCAGCCAGCGATAAAGTGTAGAATTATCAGTGTAGCAAGTAAGTTAAGTGAATAAGCGATAGAAAAATGACACAAAAGGAACTCTTCAATGCTGTTGGTGTATAGGGCCGCTGAACATACACCGCTCCTGCTATCTTCCACCACCCTAAACCTCTACCAGCATCTCCTCCATCAAACTAATTAATTAAATTAACATCTCCTCCAAGGTATATGTAAATATAAAAGTGTAAGTATAAAAGTAAATACTGTACAAGTGTAAATATAAAAGGACCCCAATGGAAATAAGTCACTCTGACTTTTTTGGGCTATCCTAGGTACTTTACACATAAGCTGCTCTGTATGATAATCAGGCTGCAGTATTAGGGTTGAAAACAGCAGATTTTACCGGGATACCTCAGGGATATGTTTAAAAGACAATATTCAAAATAATGTTGCTAGTAAAGGCAAATCAACTGAACAACAAGCAAAGAGAGATAGTAGAGTGCAAGTACTAGCTCCCTTAAGGTTTACTATACAAATAGTAGGAGCCTAAGAAGTAAGATAGATGAGCTAAGATTACAGTGGACCCCCGCATACCGGACGCATCGCATACCGTACAATCCACATACCGGACGCTTTGATCGCAAAAATTTTGCCTCGCATACCGCCCAAAAACCCGCTCACCGCCCTTCGTCCGAGACGCGTCCAATGTGCGGCCTGAGCCACGCTCACACGTTCCGCCGGTGGCATTGTTTACCAGCCAGCCTCTGCGGTAACATCCAAGCATACAATCGGAACATTTCGTATTATTACAGTGTTTTTGGTGATTTTTTCTGGAAAATAAGTGACCATGGGCCCCAAGAAAGCTTCTAGTGCCAACCCTACAGCAATAAGGGTGAGAATTACTATGGAGATGAAGAAAAAGATCATTGATAAGTATGAAAGTGGAGTGCGTGTCTCCGAGCTGGCCAGGTTGTATAATAAACCCCAATCAACCATCGCTACTATTGGTGGTACAGCTGCTGCTGCTGCTGTAGCATCGTCTGCTGCTGCTGTAGCATCGTCTGCTG